ACTATAAATCCCATCATCACGGAAGGGAGGGTTGCTAGGACCTGAGGGTGGAGTTAAGCAGCCAGGTTTGGTATAAAACCAGACATGTGGGCCCGGGGGTCTCTTGGCTCATGGCTTGACACTCAGCTTTTCTCCAGCTCTGTGTGCCATTAGGATTCCAGGTCAGCAGAACTGGTAGGACACATTTACCAATGTATCCTCCTCTCTTTCTCCCTGAAAAATCCTTTTCTTTATTACTCTTCTTTTGTGAATAAGCCCTTTTTGTGTGTGTCTGCAGTTGAGTATTATTATAAGTCACTTTAAGTGCACAGGAGAAGATCCACAGTCAGGCAACCCATTTAATAGTGGGGTTGCCCCTTAATACCCTCAGCAGTGTATTTCAGTCAGTCTGCCTGTTCTGCTCCTCACTCTGTCTCAGGTGAATCCTCTCACCCCCCCACACCTCTAGTCTATCCCAGTTCTTGTATGCACAAATAAATCTTTTTTGTTTAAGATGAGATAATAGCAAACGGAACACAAGAACAGAACAAAGTCAAGGGGCAGCAAAGAGGGGGTAAAGTTCTGCAGATATCTGCAGTGATTGTGCAGATTTATCATGAGAGGATTAGTAAATTAAAACCATTTATGTGAGGAAAAAAAGTAGACTTATTCCTTTCCAATTTCCTTCTCAGAAGCAACGATTCTCTCCTATTTTAGATGTTTCTTTTGGTAGTTACTTCCATATCTCTAAACATGCTTATTTTGCTGTTTATTTTCATTGTCTGCTGGCTTCCTACTACACAAGGCGAAGGTTGAGCTCCCACATGTCACTTTGCCTGACCAAGGAACACTTTCCATCTGCTCCACATACACACATCCCACGGAATTTTTTTTTTAACATTTATTTATTTATGCATACAAAACTGGGGTGTAGGTCAGAGGTGCAAAGGTAAGAGGATTCACCAGAGAGAGAGTGGGGAGCAGAACAGACAGATCTACTGAAATACATGGCTGAGGGGAGCAGCAGTTGGGACAGAGAGGCTGCAGTTTCATAGTGCTGCAACTTTACCCCTTATGCACCAGGGAAGCCCACCCAAGAGAATTTTATCAACTACAGTGAGTTAGACCAATGTTCAGCATTTACATGCTTATGAAAATACTCATTGCAGAGTCATGTGTTATGATTGCCTTTCTATTCTTGTACAACTTTGTTTTCCCAGAATAACTATCATTTAAAAAATCTGCTTGTTCTCTGAGTTTATCACTAAGTCCAGCCTATATTCTCCAAAAGTCTATCTGCTCCATTCATTAAAAATAAATTTCGGGCCCTCCCTGGTGGCGCAGCGGGTTAAAGTACCACACTAAGAAGCTTAAGCCACTTTCACATGAGTTCGATCCCCGCCTGCCCCGGAGGTGACCACATGGCGTGGCAGACCTCTCCTGACTCGCCTGCTGCTCCCCTCAGCAGTGTACTTCATCAACATGCCTGTTCTGCTCCCCACTCTGTCTCTGGTGAAGCCTCTCACCCTCCGCATCTCTGGCCTGTACCCCAGTTCTGTATGAAAGAATAAATCTTTAAAAAAATAAAAAATAAAATAAATTTCATCACTTTCTTCTCCTTGAAGTCTTGCTAGGAGCCTTCTAATCAGCTCTACTCTGATGGTCTGCATGCCTATCCCGGATTTTCCTTCACCATAAACCAGGGTTCCTGTTCACCTTGCTAACTTAAGGCCTTACTTTCTGGTTTCCTAGCTTTCTCTTCTGCCTGTAACTCTTAACTTCCTCTCAGAGGCATGTGGGAGAAAAACTTAAGAAATTACATGCATCAAAATTTCCTTATTCTCCCTTTGTTATTGATAGCTTGGTTGTTGCGAGGGCCTGGATAGCCCCTAAAATCTGTTCTCCCTTGGTACTAGAACAATAGGTGGCCATCTAAGTAAGGACTAGATTTTCCAGAATCACTGAGTTGGGGAATGTAAGTATAAATTATGTGGGCCATTTCCTAGCCAGACCTGAGACAGGTGTGACTCCTACACATTTTCTCTTCCCTTCTCCTGCCAACTACTATCCAGGGATGGCAGCAACCCAGTTTTGACGCTGCAGATAGCAAAGCCCTCGAGCAGTGTTTCTCAGATTTACTGGGAATGAAGATCTTAACACACATACAGATTCGGTAGGTCTGGGGTAGAGCCCGAACGTCTGCATATCTAAGCTTCTAGCTGATGCCAAAGCTACTAGTCGGCAGATCACACTTCTGAGTAAAGACCTAAAGGCTTGCAAAGCTGTACTGCTACCTTTGCTTACGGTATGATCTGTGAGGCACACTGAATTCCCCACACTGAGATGTTCGATGCAGTTCTATTTTGTAGTCACTACATTTTTAGCCTTTACCCTAGCGCAGCTGAAGTAATGAATTCTGGGTTGGAAATCACTGTGCCCCAAATATTGAAGGCATTGCTCCCCTGCTGTCTAGTGTGGAGTTAACTACCAAGAGGCCCACAACCATTCTGATTGCTGATCCTTAGCATGTGGTCTGTTTTCACACTGCAAGGTTTTGTAAGACCTTTTTCTCTGAGCCCAGTATTCTGATATTTCAAGATTTATCAGGACACTGAGCACTTGATGGGTACTTTTAATTTGGAAGCACAAGCCTTTCTTCCTCTTCATTGTCTCTGTTCTCTTCTTACTGTTTTTTTGTTTTTCACATTTTAATTTACTTTTTGTTTTGTTTTTATTTCCTTATAGAATTTAGATTAGTTCACCTTTTTTTCTCCTTATACACCATCTCTTTTCTTTTGCTTTACTTACTGAGAGAGTGCTTCAATTTCTCTTTCATCCCTTTACTAGATTTTCTTCATTCCTTCCTTCAGTTTTATTTTTCAAATGTGCTCTCTGGATTAATTTCTTCATTATAGTATCTCTTATGAAGAGCATCAATGGTGATTTTTTTCCAATTAAATTTTATTCTATACTCACTAAGGTATTTTTATCTTGGTCTCTGCTTTTCATTTTAGAAAATTTTCTTCAAATATCTACAAATCCACTTATCAGTCTGCTTATATCTAAAGGGAAGGTGTTAAACTGACTGGAAGATCTATGGACACAACTGGGATTTACCAACTGTGATCTGCTAGAGATCTGATGGTGTTGAAGAATTGATGTTAATACCCTTAGGCCTTAGACCTGACCAACCAAATACTCAAAATAAGTCTTTAACTCTCTGGCCTGGAAGGTAGAAGCCTGATTGCCGCTCACTAACACTTCCATTTAATATCTGCCCGGATGCCCTCTATTATCAAGGCCCTCTGTTTCCATCTGCAACAAAGAAATCTCCAGTAATATGATGTGTAGGGAAATAGCTGCTGAGAGAGAAGGAGAGAAAAAGGAGCTCCAGAGGATTCAAACAATCCTCCTCTGTGCCCCAGTTGTACCTGATGCCACTAATTTAAAGATAAATCAAGTTAACTCTAAGCTTTCTTCACTACTTAGTTGTGAAGTGGCTTAGTTCCCACTTCCACTGCTAAGTCAATTGTCACTTACCTTTCTGTTTTCCACTTTCAATTTATATATTTTTTAAGATTTACTTTTTTTTATTGATGATACAAGGGCTGGGATGTAGGACAGAGGTGGGTGGGGGGGGGTAAGAGGATTCACCAGAGACAGTGGGGAGCAGATTTACTGAAATACGCTGCTGGGGGTGCAGTAGATGAGGCAGGAAAGGTATGCTGTGCCATTAGGGTCAGCTCCCTGGCTGGGGATCGAACTAGTGCTGCAGAAGCTGTGGAGAGCTTCATTGTGGTCAGACAACCCCCTGTGCCACCAGGGAGGGCTCTCCATTTTCAGTTTAAAGTTTTGTTATTGTCTCTCCCCTTTAGAAAATTCCTTTAACTTATCTTACTAGGATTTAGAAAAGGAGTGATGTTAAAAACCAGATTCCTTAAGTTAAACTGAAAGTCTCCATTCATCTGCTAACCATGTGCAAAAATAATGGCTTTATTCTCAATGTTCGATAAATTGTCAAGGGTGATCTTTCCTAAAAGATAATCTGGTCATAAATCACTTCTTTAAATTCTTCAAAGGCTTCAAAATGCTTTGAAAATAAAGTCCAAATAACTCTGCTTACAAGTCTCTGATCTGGTTCCAGTCATCACTGTCTCACCTAACACCACCACACTCCATTGACTCCAAACTGAATCCCTTTGCTGTATTTCTAATGTGCTAAGCCCCTTCATTGCGCCATGCACCTGCCCGTGTCGTTTCTCTTTTCCAGTCCAAACTCTCAGCCATCTGGTTGAGCCCCGTAAGATTCAATTCTGAGAAGGAACAGCTGGCTGTATGTGTGGTTCAAGCAGTACTTAGTCCCAGAATCCTTTCTTTGTGCTCCTGGCAATATACCCTGGGCATATCTCTTAAAAAAAAAAACCCTATCCTGCTTTCACATGGGAGTCTATCTCATTCATCTTTGTATTCCCCTGGGCTCAACACATAATAGGCAATCACACAGGAATGGGAAAGGCTGAAAGGAGCAAGTATCTGAGACTATATTGACAGTCTGTGTGTCGGTTCGGCTTCTATCCAGGGAAAACGCTAGGGCGAATAATATAACACTCACCAAGTTGAGCTTCCCCAGGGCCCAACAGATGGTGGGGCGGGATGGGCAGACATAGGGTCCACAGCTGTCCAGCCTGGAGAAATACCCCAGATCTTCCCACCATCATCACCTAGCACCCAGCAGACGTTCCAGACATTCTTGTAGAAGAAATAAAATGGAGACCTTATTTCAGTGGCATGAAGATGGAGAGAGGTCTGAAAGGCCTCAGACTAGGGCTATTTCGACAGCTTCTAATCACAGGTGGTCGGTCTGTCGGTGGCTGCGTCGACCCGAGAGTGCGCAGGGGACCCTGGGAGTTGTAGTTCACCAGGTGACTCGAGAAAGGCGAGACAGCACTGAGCACCATGGGAATTGTAGTTCTTTATAAAGAACTCTGTGCGCAGGCGCAAACCGACAGCCACTTCCGGACTCAAGCTCCGCATTTTGCAAAACAATCCGGTGGAGGATCTCTAAGGTACCCATGGCTACCTACAGCCTGGCGAACGAGCGACTCCGCGCCCTGGAAGAGATTGAACGGGAAATCGGCGCCATTCTTCAAAATGCAGGTTCGGAATACGACGACTACCGGAGGTGCTAGGAGAAGGACGTGCTCGAGCGCCGACCCGACAGTAGGAGTAGGGTTGGCTTGGGAGGCTCAGTTCACGCACCGCGCTAGCAAAAGGGCGATGAAGGGGGCTAGCCCAGGGCGGGGCTGTATGGGCCGTCTTCAGGTAGCCCACCCCTTTCTCCATCCCGACAGGTACAGTGATACTGGAACTGTCCAAAGAAAAAACTAATGAGCGGCTCCTAGACCGGCAAGCGGCTGCCTTTACTGCATCGGTGCAGCACGTGGAGGCAGAGCTGTCGTCACAGATCCGCTACCTCACCCAGGTGGGTATGTGTTGGGAGGTGCTGTGCACCCATTCCAGCTTTCTTTATTTTGAATTCACGGGTGGCAAGGTGAGGCCTCCAAGCCAGTATCACCCCTGTTGGGTGGGATGCCTCCTCCCTCTCAGGACGAGTTTCTTTCTATTTCGCTGGATGACATCACATAAGCTTGATGGAAACGTCCTGGGAGAAGGCATAAACAAAGCCAAAAGACTTTGCCCACAGAAACTTGGCTGACCTCAAAGGCTTCAAGCTCCAGGTGCCTGCATTCTGACAAATGGGGCAGTATTGCAGTATTTTACCAAATTTCCCTGGGAAGTAGTTATTGTCAGTCTCACTTTACAGATGAGGATACCAAGTTGAGTGATTTGCTCCAGGTCATCCAGCTACCATGTGACATGACTGCTTCAAACTCAAGGAAGAAGTGGGAGGAGTCCTGACCCATGGTGAGGGATGGTTAAGGAAAGAAGTGCTTCATTGATCATTACAACTGTCCTGTAGGTGGCCACTGGACAGCCCCATGAAGGCTCCAGCTACTCTTCAAGGAAAGACTGTCAAATGGCCCTGAAGAGAGTAGACTATGCTCGCCTCAAGCTCAGTGATGTAGCCCGAACCTGTGAGCAGATGCTGGAAAACTAGGCCAAGGATGTGGGACAAGAATATGGAGGGAGACCACAGAACCTGGAGACCTGTAGGATGAGCATGAGCTGCCTCATACATTCTCTGTTGGTCAAAGTGTATGGGGACAAAGCAACAAAAGTTGGGAATGAAGGAGCATAAAGACCAAGACTGCCCATAACTATGTCCTGGCTACTCCAGTAGGGTGCTCCTCTGCATTTCACAAAAGCACTGACTTACTCAGACAAGAGGTGGAGATTCTGTCATCCAGCCCACTTCCTCATATATTTCCCACATATCCCTGGCACAGGCTTCTCACAATATGGCCCAGTGACAACACATTCTTCACTGGAAAGGACAAAACATGAACTGAGGATTTTAGGGGCCACCCTGGTACCCT